TTTTGAAGGATAAAATGTGTTTAGGGTGACTTTAATTTTATGAATTAATTAGTTTTAGTAAAAAATGCAAACTTTCAAGAGAAGTCCTACTTTTAATTTACGAAGGAAATTGTTTACTTAATGTGGAATCATACATTTCCAATCAATCTGTTAAAAATACACAATAAAAATTCATACAATTCCACAACATGAACTAAATCAGTTTGTCTACACAATATTATAAGACTTTCAGGATGAGGTTTTATTATTGAATCATTCCTGAGAATGAGGATATTATTATAAAAGCAATAGAGATGAAGAGAGTAAGTTCAGTATCATTTGAAATGAGATGCCTAAATCTATTTGAAGTAGATTTTTACCTACGTCTAATTTATCTTAAGCGGTTTATAAATTTGCTTCCCTGTTCTCACCTATCACCTTTCTGGTCCCTTCTTAGGTTCAGTAAAAAAACAGACTTCGAATTAATCAGTGAATCGTACCATATCTCTAAAGCCCATTTTCTCTACCTAGTACTGCCTTTAATTAATGATATGCTAGTCCTGAAGGAAACAAAAGGTGTCATGTTTAGTAACTTTACTGGGGTTTTTTCTTACTCCTCCTTACCGTTGAAAGATAACAATGACATGAAATAGTCACTTGACTTACTGTGCGAGAGCTGGAGGACTAATTCAAAGAAAGCCAAAAAGATATTTACTTAAATTTTTTGTTAAATAGTATTGATTATGCGAGCCATGGACTAGAAGGTAATGAGACAAGAGATTATTTTGTGTTTGCCACATTTGAAGGAAGTTTTCTTGTACTTCAATTTGGATTTAGGGTCATCTAGGCCTGAATTGAAGTAGGTGCAGCTGCAATTGATAAAAGCCACCAACCATCACATCTAGAAATGAACTGGCACTAGATGTGGTAGGTTTTCTGTGTCTGTCACTCCCAAAGTACTGCAAATTTCTGAGGGTAAGCTATTCTGTCTGCTTCTCATTTATACACCTACCCACCTTAAAATGGACCTAAGATAATAAATAAATTCATGAAAAGATGATAACCAACAATGCAAATCTCTCTTAAATGGTAGACTTTAAATCTGAACCAACTGGAAAAGATGTAAATTTTATTTCTATCCCAGTAATCATACTTGGGGGGAAAAACTTACTATAAATTAAGTCAAATGCTATTGTACTGCATCCCCATCATCCATAAAAACATATAAAGCGTTTTTCAATTTAAAAAAGAAGGCATGAATCATAAAATCAGGTATTCAGGGTTGGAAATAGGTCACATGGACCCTCATAATGATCTTC